GCCGGCGAGCCGAGGGACCCACAGCGTGTCCCCTCTGTGCCCCCTCCGGCCCCGGGGTGGGAATCCAGCCTGACCCCACGCCCCGCACCGCCGGGCCCCGAAAGTCATGAGGTTGTGCCCAAAATAGCGGGTTATTGAACGGCGAGGGGAAGCCAACGGCGCTGCTGGGACCTCGTGCTCCTGCCCAGCCACGCCGCGGGGAGAAATTGGGTCAGGAGGCGAGAGGAAATGTCGCGGGTGCTCCCCACGTCCCTCCCCGCGGCACCCAGGCGTCCCGGCACAGCGGGGCTGGGTCACGCCGGGCAAGGATGGTGGCATTGCTCCTTCGTGTCCCTTCGCCACCCTCGGTGCCCCACGGCTCGCAAGAGCTGGAAGGTCCCTGCACAGTCCCACGGGGACATTGCACAGCCCATGGGGACCTTGCTTAGCCCCATGTAGACCTTGCGTGGCCCCATAGGGACCTCACACAGCCTGTGGGGACCATGTACAGCCCCATGGGGACCATGTACAGCCCATGGAGACCTCGCACAGCCCATAGGGACCTTGCACAGCCCGTGAGGACCTCGCACAGCCCATGGGGACCTTGCGCAGCCCACAGAGACCATGTACAGCCCCACGGGGACCTTGCACAACCCATGGGGACCTCAGCCAGCCCATGGGGACCTTGCACAGCCCCATAGGGACCTTGCACAGCCCATAGGGACCATGTACAGCCCATAGGGACCTTACACAGCCCATGGGGACCTGGCGTGGTCCGTGGGGACCTTGCACAGCCCCATAGGGACCTTGCACAACCCATAGGGACCATGTACAGCCCATAAGGACCTTACACAGCCCATGGGGACCTGACATGGTCCGTGGGGACCTTGGACATCCTTATGGGGACCTTGTGTAGCACACAGGGTCCTCGCACAGCCCGTGGGGACCTTGCACAGCCCATGGGGACCTGACATGGTCTGTGGGGACCTTGGACATCCTTATGGGGACCTTGTGTAGCTCACAGGGTCCTCGCACAGCCCGTGGGGACCTGGCATGGTCCGTGGGGACCTCGCACAGCCTGTGGGGACCTCGCATAACCCATGGGAAGGGTGTATGGCCCACGGGGACCTGGCACAGCCCAGGGGGACCATGCCCAGGAGGGCCTGTGACAGACCTCCAGCTCTGCTCCAGCCGAAGCACCGAGTCCGGGGGCGGTTTCTCCAGCGCCTCCTGCAGTCCCGCGGGGCCGAGCCCGGCTCTGCGCTGCTCCGGGAGCCCGGCAAGAGGGAAACGGCCATGACATGGCCCCGCTCACTCGTGCACCGAGTGTCAGGGTCTCTGCGGAGGCACCCTGGGGTGCACGGCCGGGTGGAGCAGCGGGGTTTGGGCACGGCAGACAAAGACGGGGCGGGGGACACATGCTGGGGGCCATCGGGCTTTTTTGGGGGGGAAAAATCCCGCACAAGGGAGGCTCGGAGCAATCACCGGGATGGGGTAGAGCGGGGCTGCCCCCGATATCTGGCAGCCTCCGGGGTTTAGCGCGCCGGGGCATGGCTGAATGGGTGCTGGGGGCCCCGCGAGCCCCACGCCGGCCCCCTCCAGGCCCCTGCGTGCCCGGTGGGATTAAGGTCAGGCTGCCCCGCTAATCCCAAGGGTGGTTTAAGATGTGAGCTCGTGCCCGCTGCCACCCCCTCCAAGGTTGCACCCCAAGGTGCTGCGCATCGCAGGACACCCACAGGGCGCTTTCGGGGGGACCAGGCAGAGGTTGGGGGGGGTGCGATTCGTCCCATGGGGTGGGAGGGGGCCAGGGCACCCCTGTGCCCCCGCAGATAAGCCCCCGGTGCCGGCGGGGCCGCAGGGCAGCAGCCCCAG